GAAGAGACAGCCTGGAGTGGTGTGAGGGGAACATTGATGAGGCCAATAACTGGTGAGCTTGTGTGTGGTGTGTGTTTGTGTGTGCGCTTCATTGTGCGAGTGTCCCTCAATCGGTGGGTATACATGTACAGTTGCCTTGGGATAATCTCTGCCGTAACGTTTTACATTTACGTAATGTACAGTGATCACTGACAGATTCCAGTTACCCGTTTATCTTGTACTTTAATTTGCATTCCTGTTCGGTCTCAAGAGGGATGTTTCCCCACAGTGCAGTATGAATGTGGTCAAACGATAATTAAAACATATACAACTGTATGGTGTATTCTACGTGAACAATGAGTGTCCTTGATAAAAATACGGACGTATTGGTTTGGGGCAAGATTCTAAAGTCCCCACTAGTGATTGTCATGTAACCGTTGTGACTTCTCCCCAACTTCCTACCAAAGCACTGATGAACAAACCCTCGCGAAATTGTGCTTTGCGGTAACGCAAAATATTGGCTGTGCTATTAGTTACTCGAGGTCTCCCGCTAGTGTGGCTCGCGAGTCTGAGCACTGGCTCTATGCTACGAGTAGTAGACAGCATGCAGGAGTCGATACCTGCCTTCGTTGGGACGTCTTATAGCCATCCCATGATGTACACGAGAGCAAGCAGACGAACCCGAGTCGAGGTTGCTACATATTAAGCATATTGGCTAGTTCCTTGTTCCTCATCACGCCAAACTCTTGAACGCCTAGTTTTGAATCCGCCAAATGATAATCAGCCACTGTAGCGCTGAACCTTTTGTAACACTTTTTTGTTGTCCCGTTGCGCGTGGGGCAGAAAACGTGGTAAGGAGTGGGAAGTGAAAAAGAGAAGTAGGGAGAAGGAAGGAAGAGGAGAGAGGGGGAGGTAAAAAGGAGGAAATCAAGAGGTAGAGGAGGGAGAGGAAGAGGAGGGAGGGAGGAAAAGAAGGGAAAAGGAAAAAAGGATAGGAGAAACCCAGGGAAGGGAAGGGGGGTAAGAGGGGAAAGAAGGGGGGGAAGAGGCAAAAGAGAGAGAAGAGAGGAAGAGGGGGAGGAATGGGTTAGAAGAAATTGAAGGGACGAGAAAGGCGAGTGGAAGAGGAAAAGGAGAGGAGGGGAGGGGGAGGGGAGAATAAAGGTAGAAAATAAGGGGAAATAGTCACTGAAGGTAAAAGGAAGGGGGGTGAAGATGAAGGAGGAGAAGAAGTGAAGGAAAGGGGAGAGGGAAAAAAAAAAGCGGAAAAAAGAGAAAAAGGAAGAAGGGGAAGGGGGGGGGGGGGGAAATTAACAAAAAGGGGCGGAAGGGGAAGAAGGAAGTGGGGGGGAAAAGACAAGGACAGTAAAGAAGGAGAAAGAGGAGGGGGATAAAAAAAGGAAGAAAGAAGAAAAAGGAGCGGGGGGTGGGGGGAGGGGGGAGGGAGAGGGAAGAAAGAAAGGAAAGAAAGGAGAGGGAAAGAAGAAGGAGGGGGAATCCCGGGCAAAAGTGAATGAAGGGGGATCGGAGAGGGGCCGAAGAAAGAAAAGGTGAAAAGGGGGGAGGGGAAAAGGGAGGAAAGGGAGAAGGGAGTGAGGTGAAGGAGGAATCGCCCTCCCTCCCCGGGGGGACACACAAACCTAACGAACCAAGTACCGTAACCCTGCTGCTCATAAGCGCGCCGAGTAACTCCTTGGGCGGCAATGTACATATACTATACATATATGCACAGAGCCCACTCCATATGTAAGTGCATAGAATTTATATAGGCTATAATAGATAAGGCGCTAATATGTTATTACATCAATTCTCTGCTTATTTAAGGAGACACCTATAGCGCCCAAAGGTGAGGTGTTATTGTGGTGTGTGTTGTGTGTATAACATTATGCCTCCCTCCCCTGTATAGTGTGAGCAGATGGAGGTAGAGCTACACGATGTCGGACCATCCACCAGCGATCACCTCTCAAGGGAAACTTGACAACTACCGCAAGGAACTGACACGGCTACGAAAGAATTTGTGAGTCTGTTTATTGTGTGTGTGTGTGTGTGTGTGTGTTTGTGTGTGTGTGTGTGTGTGTGTGTGTGGTGTAGTGTGGTTGTGTGTGTTGTGGTGTGTGTGTTTGTGTGTGGTGTGTGTGTGTGTGTTGTGTGTGTGTGTGTGTGTGTGTGGGTGTGCTGTGTGTGTGCTCCATTTTACTGTATATTACAAACACCGTCGTAGTCACTTTGAAGCAGGGAGCCATTTCCTGACCATGTGCAAATAGACTATGTACATATATCATTACTCTGTATGTACAGCTAAGATGCAATAGGATGCTCATCTGAAAGTAGTACAGATTTTGCTCAGGGAACTATCGTAGTCCTACAGCTTACCTTCATAAGTTTACATATATGTACGTCGTACACTGTGTCGGTAAACCGCCAAGTCAGCTTGCAGTAGCGCAGACTAGCTATAGACCTTCCTACCAGTGAGTCATCAGAGCTTTGTCCGGACGGCCTCTTTACGTGTAATAAGGAGTGTAGGGCAGGATAGTGGCTAACTTGAATGTCTACAACTGAGCTTCAAATCGCATTCTCTCAAACTGTGCCCCTATCTGTTTTGTTCTATATTATAGTACATTCCTAAATGTAGCCCTTACAGTCTGGCACGTTCCTTTAATGGTGCCAGGATTGAAGCATTGATGCAAGGACACCTCTGGGATATCTGGAAACTAGTAAAGATCCTCTGTGGTGGTGTGACATCGCAATACTATACGTACTAGGCACAGCTGCCCTCTCACACAGCATGTGTATTAAATGTACATCAAATCTCGTGGATGCTGTACTTCTACAGATGAGTTCACTTATTATGAGGAAATGACCTGTGTATGTATTCTAAATACGCCATACAAGTGACAGTACACCGTTGTGTGTAATTCACTGGTTACCACCACTGACTGGTGAGACACGGCAATCTGCAGCCGTTTTAAAATCCGTTTTCACTGACACCTCACACTGCCTACTTTGATTCGTGTCAATAAACTTTACAAACGAGCATGTCTTAGTCATGCACTAAGAATGCGCTCAGTCAAAGTTACATCTCCCTTCTGTGCAAGTGGGAATGTGTTATACAAATGAGCAATATTCAACTTGTTTCACCCCACCCTCTATCCTTCCCCTATCTCCTCCATATCCATACAGAAACAGTCTCAGGTGGCTCTCGGTGGTCAGGGGATGAGGAGAGAGCTTCTGGGACCTGAGGAGCTGTACACCTCTGAAGATCAGGTCAGTCAGTTGTTAGGGAGCAAAGAATGAGGGTTTCTTGGAGGTGGGGTCATTGAATATACTTGAATACGAGAGGGATTACAAGTACTAAATTACTAAAGTGCAAACCCTCGCGAACTGCGCACTCGCGGTACCACTGATTGATGGCCTGGGCTTTTATTATGCGTTTACTCGTGGTCTCCACACTGGTAGCTCGCGGAGAGTCTGACACGGACTAGCTCGGTAGTAGATAGCATGCGGGAGTCGATACACGCCCTTTGTTGTGACTTCTTGTGCCTTCAAAATACACAGAGCGAGCGGACGCGGTCGAGGTAAGCCTGTGCTATTTAATTTGCATATTGGCTTGTTCACTTGCTTTTCACGCCATAACTTTTGAACGCAGTATAGTTATACGAAAATCGCCTTTTTTAAAATGAAGCCAGTGTAGCGATGAACCCGTTGGTATCGCTGTTACGCCACCTCGTAGCCTGTAGTGCGAGAACTCGCGTGGACAGACGGACAGACAGACTTACGGACCAAGTACCGTAACCCTCGCTGCGCATGCGCGCCGAGGGTTAAAAATCCTGTGTATATATGTACATAAAGAAAGGAAGACAAGATAGGTATAGTATATGGGATACATGAAGCATACAATACTCATCGTGCATTAAGTACAAAAGGCGGTTTACTCTTTGGTAACTAAGCAGTCTTCCTTGTGAAGCTCGTCACTTTCTAGTGATTGTGAGACAGCTTTTCCATTGACTCTGAAGTGTGTCAGAAGAATGTGCCCTGTTTGGGGGAATTGCATGCACGTCCATAGAGTGAGTCCCATGCTTCTTCCAGAGAGCCTGGGCACACGGCTACATACATACACATCCAGCCCTGCGTATACACTGCATATGAAAATTCAGTTAGAGTCTTTCTCTCTTGGGACAAGGAAGAGGTGTTGAAACACAAGGGAATTGTTCAGACAATTGAAGCAGAATATTTTATGCTTGAGTATCCATGGTGATTTTCACCATGACTGTGCATTTTACACAATGCGTTTACACACTAGCTAAGTTTGTGTTACACAGAAAGTGTTGTGTGTGTCTAATTACGTAATCGCTTCCTTAACGTGTGTGGGTTGGATATGCAAGCTGTATGTCTGCAGAAATAAGTGTATGTACTGTATGTATACACTGTATGTGCTCTTGGATGTGGGTCATTGACAACTGTGACAATAGGTTCAAAGTTCATGCATGTGCTCGGTCGCCAAAAATGTAATCACTATTTAGAGGGTGTGATTGGCAACTGAGCCACACTATAAGTCTTCCCTCTGTGCATTAGACACCACCATGTGTAATGCTAACCTGTGTAATGAAAAGCACTAAAGTGCAAACCCTCGGCGAACTGCGCATGTGCGGTGCCTCTAATGGGCGTTTACTCGCGGTCTCCACACTAGTAGCTCGCGGAGAGTCTGACACGGGCTAGCTACGGTAGTAGATAGCATGCGGAAGTCGATACACACCCTTCACTGTGGCTTCATGTGCCTCCAAGGTACACAGAGCAAGCGGATCAGGCCGAGGTGAGCCAGCATAATCCGCGTCTAATACACGCATGCGCACCGCTTATTGATGGGTTGGGCCACGCAACGCTGTCCGCGACCGTGTCAGTTTGTCGCTCTCGAACGCAGTCATTTCAGCAAAATCGCCATTTTGGTTTTCTAGCCCATGTACCGCTAAAGCTGTTGGTATCGCTCATAAGCCGCCTTCTAGCCTGTAGTGCGAGAATAGTCGCGGACACCCAGACAGACACCACACGGACACACTGTAACCCTCGCTGCGCATGTGCGCCGAGGGTTAATCATAACTGTTCATACAGTGACCTTTTATATCCATGTACATGTTTCCATATTCGCGCTCTATAACTCTTTAGTTACACGGCCTCCAAGTAACAATTGTGCATGTGGGTTATTGTTTGTACACATGCATGTGTATGACCTTTCTTGCCTCATTACTGACATAATGTTTTGTGTTCCCCTGACAGAGGACCCATCTCCTGGACTCCACGTCGAGGTTGGAGAAGACGTCGGACCGACTCGACGAGGGTTACCGCATCGCGCAGGAGACGGAGGAGATAGGACTGGAGATCATGGACAACCTGCAGAGAGACAGAGAGACCATCGACAGAATGAGGGGCAGGGTGAGTCTGTTGTACAGATCAATTGGCCTCGTCTGCTAGGGGCAGCTGGTCATTGTAGTCTTGTCTATACATATAGTGGGGGCATGGCATGATTGTCCGTTAAGGGAACCCTCTGATCGTCTGGTGGGACACTCTGTGATCAACCCTTGTCACACAGTGATAACAGCCTTCATTTTCTTGTGAGGGCACCCAGTGATCCCTAATTGTAGCCTAATCTTGTAGGGGCACCCTGGGCTAAAGGCTTGATATCAGCTGTCACCAAATTAGTTGTACATAGCACGCCAAACAGGAAGGGCTAGGGCATGGTGGAATGTACAACTTAAATTTGTCCTAATCCAGCATTTAGTTTCGTCACCGACGTTTGTCGACGTGCTGCGCTATTCACGAATTGACGATATGACTACATAGCTGATGCAACAAAACGAAACGAAAGTCTAGCGTCGTATTGTGAACCAGGGAAACTTCCCACTGTGGTGCTGTTTGTCACTAGGATCCTACATGTTGATCCTACACTATCTGTATATATCATCCTATTATCTTTGGACACCTTGGGACTACTGTAAGCATTAGACTCTCTGTATAGGGATGGCATGGGTCAAGTCTCAAGTGATCCGCGTACATTGTAGCCTCAACACTCAGTGAGAATGACTCGCTGGGCCTTCAAAACACACTAGCAATTGTCTACGGGCCCATGTACATAGTAACGAAGTACGGTAGTCACGATTTTCCACTTGTATACAATCACTTGCCAGGGTGTGTGTGGGTCTGTGGAACTGGATCTGACTGAGTGTGAATGAAAATTGGAGGCATGGTTCTGTTTGTGTTAGTCTTGTCAGTAGAGGAAACTACGTATGTGTGTGTGTATGTGTGTGTGGTGCAAGACTAGTGGTGTATCTGAGTGTAGCAATATGCAGTTGGTGGCTCTGGCAAGAGAACCATTAAAATGGGATAAGAGAGAGAGACTCAATAAGTTAGGACTTGTGCTGCTACAATGATGAGACATGGTCTTGTATTCATTCACACTTTCTTGGAAACTCTTCCATACTGTCATGTGTACTAATCTGAACCTCTCTGTGTGTGTGTGCGTGCGTGTGTGTGTGTGTGCGTGTTTGGTTTATCTTTGATGGCCTGATGTTCTCCATTGAAACCCCTACTGTGTGGTTTCATGATGTACATTAAGTGCATCGAATGTCTATGTATGTATATATGGTACTAGCACAAGATCAGTGAAGTTAAGGGTTTCTCCTGTTTTCTGTATATACAAAAATGTAAATATAAGACGGCTTCTGCATGGTCCTCGATGCCTTGCAAAACTATGGTACTGTGTATGTAGTGGTGTACTGTGTATGTAGTGGTGGTGAATGTACAGTACACTGTGAGGTAAAGGGTTAATTGCATGTTATTGGTGTGTTGAGTAGTGTCTGAATGTTGGGCAGACAGTGTTGTATGTAGCTCTCTCGTGTTCTCCACAGCTGAGGGACACGGACTCTGACCTGTCCAGAGGGGGCAGGATTCTCCGCAGGATCTCCCGACGGTGGGTCTCAGCTGTATGTATAGCCTAGTTCCCCAGCTCCCCAAATTAATGCATATGACCTTTGACCTAGAGAAAGGCCATACGCATACATTGTACGTGTGAGGGTAAAGCTTGGAACAAGGCTAAGTCTCAGCCACAGATTCTCTCCTCGCCTTCTGCATAGTACTAACACCTGTTACACAAGACAGTTTCACTGAGGTACTTTGCAAGTGCCGTTTATGCCCGTTACTCAAAATACATTCCAGCGAATTTGTACGGCCCCTTTTCACGTACGCGGCCACCTGTTACACCAGACAGTTGTAGCTTTCACAGATAATCCTTCATCTGTGCAATTATAACCAAGTTGGTTGTGTACATAGATCTGAAGAATTGGCGAGTGGAGGGAGCCTGTACCTTGTCTTTCAATGCGGGAATTTTCTATATATATTTTATGTGACGGCTCTGTCGGGCACTGCACATACTGTAATGTTCTATGATTCTAAATATGCACAAAACACGCGCGAAATATTGAACTGCTCGTGCTCGCTCGCCAGCAATACATTGCATTCCTCTGGTAATACAAAACTACAGCTGCATCACGTATGTACCAATTTAAAGGTGGCTACTTTTGCCACAGGTGAAATTTACTGTCTTTGCAGTTTTTTTGGACAATACTCCAGTTAGATTGCATGAAGCACCCAGGTCAACTGTACCAGTAGCCCAGTGAAAATTATGTGCGTGGAAGTTTTCTTGTCACTATAACCATAAGTCATAGATCATTGTTTGCCCGCCTGGACATCTACGGGCACATACACACTGAAGGGTTTTTTCCTGTTCCCTGTGTGCGTGTGCAACAATAGGATCACTTTATTGCGTTACGAAGCACACAGTCATTTTTAAATTGATTGATAAGGAGTTACAGTGGAGTCTCGTTATAATGAATTGCTGGAATTTGTTCACAGTAAATGGAATTAAGTGTGGTGAAAATGTACAGTGTTCTACAGAGCTAGGCTCCGATGGTGTGTTTGTACTATCCAGAATTCCGTACTAAGTATGTTGAGACTCCACTGTATTGGCAAATGAAGTGAGCATTGTACCTAAACGGCGACAGGTAGATCTGTTGTGCTTCACGAAAGGAAAGCTCTGCGCTGACGGCACGTTATGCAGCCCGAACATCGCAAGTTGGGTCACTCCCGCTCGCCAACGATGTTCAACATTTCCACTAGTAATCTGAATTGTGTTTTTTTTCTGTGAGCAGCACTGAATGTGCTACACATGGAACCACCGAACCTTTACACTTGTTTCCACTAGTCACTAATGCATTGTATCCTGTTTCTTCCACTACACACAGGATCATCCAGCACAAGATATTCTTCGTTGTGGGAGCTCTCATACTCATCATCGTCATTGCCCTGCTCATTACTGCTGTTGTCCTTATCAAAACACAAACTGACAAGAAGAAGAATTAACCACTGTGTATTGATAAAGTCTTGTATAATAATTATTGTACTAATGTGTTTGTTGTAAAAATATCTGCTGTGAGCTTGCATATGGTCAGAGGAGGTTGCACACCATCCACATTCCTGAGCTGTTCGCGCATGCGGTCATGATGTATGTAATGAAGTGCAAAAGGAAGGGGTTCTGGCTGGTGATCAGGCTCGCACAAAACTCACTATTTCTTGATGTAGCGTACGTATATACAACAAAGAAGACTCATGGCCTTGTAAATGACCGGGTGCCGTTTTGGGGAAAGTGCTGATTCAGCATATTGACTGGGTTGCGTGGGCGAGCATACAACTCTAAAAGGTCCACATGGCGCAGGCGATGATGCATGCACAACCTCCTCTATATAATTATGGTTGTATACTGTAATTACAGGGCATTATAATAATATAATAGGTATGTTAATTTTTCACTGCTGATCAACTGTATAATATTATACATCACTATGGTGAGTGTCGATTGCAGAAGTGGGTTCTTTTACCCCTGTGTGAGGGATATAGCCCACATTTGGTTGGCATCCTCCCTGAAGTCAGGGAACTTTTCAGTTTATTGCTCGATAATGTACATGCGCTACAAATTATAGTGGCTATAATACTCTATATACCTAACTCAGTGATCCTACTGTACTGTATGCATGAAGTATAGCTAGTTGGAGGTTACTTTGTAAGGTGTGGAGTTGTACAAAAACATCTTCAGGTTCGTTACGACTATGCTATTAATAGTGTACACGTCGGCATAGGATCATTATTGGTTGTTAGACAGCATCCAATCTAGACGAGTTATGGCAATTGAATGAAGTGAAGGTGTGTGAGAGGTGAAAGACTTCGAGACTAGGTCCATTCCTTGATATATAGGGAAAGAGATGAAAGTTTTTTCAGACTAAGGCAATAATGCGTAACAGGATTGTGCAGAACGTCTTGTTACTATAGAGTGCCAAATGTCATTGGTGCAGCTTTTCCCACATCCAGACATTGGTGGCTTCTTTTGGAGCACTGCAGCATTCATTCCTGGAAAATAAGTGATCAGAGACCTGTTTTAATCATTATTGTGTCCACACGTTATCCCTCGCAATTGCCACGGCCAAATTGTTCAATCAAGGAGGATGTAAACCTTGCATTTGGGTCTTTAAAAATCTTACCAATAGCTGTTTGCTGATTATGGGGATTCTTTTAGATCTGTGTCTTAGACATGGACGCTTTGAAGTGCGCGATGTGCAAAGACAGCAGCCATAGTATTTTTGTTTGTGCGGTGTCGGCACATGTAACTTGTGCACATGTTCCCTATCTCAGTAGAAATGTAGATATTCTAACGGTGGCTTAGTCTCCTACTGCAAGCAAAACACCCCTTCCATAATACTTTTATGATTGCCATTTTGGGATACCACGTGTCTCGTAGTGTACAGAGCAGTGTTGGTGCATCAATGGTTCTGCACGACCTCAGTCAAACAAGTTATTGAGCTGGATTATGAAATGACATGACAAAATAATGCATTGACTACACATGGCAGTAGTTTTGCCCCCTTTCACGTGAAGCTGGATTGCTTGATCCTAGCCACGCTTAGTCACGGCAGGATCTAGGATCAAGGATCCGGCCGGCCGGATAGGCGCCGTGCGTGAAAGCGCTGCATGAACGCGGCGCGCGCTCCCTTTCCTGTTCATGACATCATCACGGGAAGACAAACGGACGAATCAGGTAATTGCGAATTCTCGCGTCGTGAATTATATTACGTGTCGCTACAAAGGTGACTGTTCACTTTGAGGGCCTTTGAACTAGCCGCTGAGCTGGGAGACGAGCACGAGGCCTCTGGAAGAATCAAACGTCGTAGGGAAGAGAACAGAAACAATTCCTCGGACAGAGCAAAGAGCGACAGCTTGGCCGCACGGCAACAGTGTCTGGCGGTTGCGAGAGAAGTGAACCGGCGAAAGCACGCCTGTAGAAGTGTAATTGTTCAAACAAGCCCGGAGGGAGATCAAAGGACCGCTACCCTTTGAACAGCAGGAGCTCGGATCTCGGAGCGCTATCATGTCAGCTGGGTCGGGCACAGCAGCGGGCGGTGGATCTGCGGCGGGCAGCGGGGGGATGGGAAACGCAGACCCGGAGAGCCACTACGGACACGACGGGGTGAGCCAAACTGTGTGCTGAGAGGTTTAGGGCCCGGGTTTCGTGTTTTTACCTTGTGCTGCCAGTTTTGGGGCTAACGGGAGTCTAGTTTTTGTCGTGGGGAGTTGGTATGTGGTGTTGCTTGCGGCCGTGCCTGCGTTTTGTGTCGTGTGCTTGAGGTTGATGGACCTCGACACCGTATGAGAGCATTCGCTCCATACTTTGGATGGCTTTCACAGACACAGCAACAGTACAGTGCTGCTATGAATAGTTGCCCGACGACGGGTCCAAGGAGACGGGAGGAGACAGTCGTCCCCGTGTATGTAGTCGCCCAGTGTTTGTCTCAGGAAGTGGCTGTTGTTGGAGATTTGTGTGGGTCAGTCAACCCTGGAGTGTAGAAATCTGTTGTGCATGCTCTCTCTCTATCTCTCTATCTCTCTTTCAGTGCATTTTTCTGGCTCTACCCCTCCCAGTTTATCTCTTGCTCTCTCCATTCCTTCCTTCTCTTTCCTTCACCCCTTACCTTTGACCAGGAGTATTAGTGCCTTCCTTCCTTGTGTTTGGGAGACTCATTGCTATTGGACATGGTTATCTCAGCTGTTTGATGCTGGTACTAGAGAACTCTAGGGGTCAATAGACAGCTCAGCTGTCTACCTACAGACTTACACCACTACTGATTTTATTTTGTGGAATTCCTAGGAGGAGAGATTGCTTTGCTATTGGCCTACAACTTTTACAGCAATATACACATAATATGTACAAACAAACAGTTGTTGATGAATGTGTCTGAATGTTTTCTGGCTAAAAACAGTATATAATGCTCCTGGCACTGTCTGCTTGGGACAGCCTGTCCTGCTTCCATGGTTCAGCTAGCTGGTCTGGTTTGTGGCCTACTGAGTAAGTTCCTTTGTTGGATGGCTTCATGTAATTAGGTTTGGCTGGCTACCACTACCCTGAGCCCCTTCTCATTAGGACTGGGAATGCGTTCTTTGTCCCTGGGCCAAGGCTGAAGCCCCACTGAGCTGAGAAGCCTGGGCCACCAGACCCGCTTCTATGAGGCTTGCTTTTCACCCACTGCTGTTCCTACCCCCATCTCTTTCTTTCCTGACAGCATCTCCATTGTGAGGTGGGCTGGTGCCTACTCCAGACCATTATATTGGGCACTTATCCTATGGTGTGTGTGAGAGCAGCTTGGGTTGTGGTAAAAGCTCTCAGGCAGGCAGGAGGAAGTGTGCCACCCACACAGGTCTACAGGATATGCCTTACATTTATACACAGGAAATGAGCAGTACACCTACATACATACCTTACACCTTGGTGTCTGAAGGTTTAGAGCACACGTGTGTGTATACATGCGTGACTGCTCCTGTGTTTGTTGCTAATTTTTTTGGATGTGTGTGTGTGTGTGTGTGTGGTGTGTGTGTGTACATTTGCACATCTTGAGCTATAAGCTTGATGAGTAAGTGGGTGTCTTGTTGTCTGTTCTTGATTCCTAGAAACAGTTTGCTGCCCTGTAAGTGTGTGTGTGGGTGGGTGTGGGGTACAAGCATGTAAAATGCTGTACTGAATTATTTGTGAAGTTATGTGTGCAAAAGTAATAAACCTGTACCCCTTACACTAAGACATTATTAGCTCATGAGTCCACTTATATAACGGTCCTCTAACTTTCTCATGTACGTTTGACTAATTTTAGAGAAGTAATCTTCATGAATACCTTGGGGGCCTTGCACGCCCACCAACCACATTTTGAAAAACTTTTTTCACTTTACCTGATTCTTTAATGTTACGCTGGCAAGTAGGTGACAAATCTCCTCACAGGTGGCCTGCACTAGTGATGAATGAGTCAGCAAAGGAGGTGATACAGAGAACTAATATAGTCTAGGCCACATGCTACATACATAGATACAGACAGACCGAAGGACTCTACTAAGTCATTATAGCAGGGGTGATGCCTGTTCCTACGCTAACGAGGTACAGGTTTTGCAACCTCTCACATAGTCTGTGTACTGCGCCAGTGTTGCCAGTGGTCTTCTGAACTCGTGTGTATCCTGATTCACAGGTTGTCATCGGTTGTGTCCCCCCCCTAGCCTCTACATTGTGTACTTACACAGCCTGAAACCAGGTCTTTGAAGTCAGGTTGTCCGGCCTGAATCCCTCTTGGGGTGGGCTTGTTGTCCAATCTGGTGCTAACAATGTGCTCCTGTAAATGGACATGGTGCTGTATTCAAGCCAGCTACATCACCCTGCCACTGTGTGTGTACTTGTACATGCAAGAAAGAGAATCCCTTGTTTGGCCTACATCACTACTAGGGAGAGTTTATGGCTTTGTAACCAGCAGTAGAACAACACTGGGCTTCTAAGATGTCTCTGTAGACTGTATACAGTATATACTGTACCACAGAGTTGTGGGAGAAATAAAAGGTTTTTCCTTCTCACCTGTCATATTTATTGCTCTAGCCTTCAGCGTATCTCACTGTCTCTCCATTATGCCAATCAACACTGCTGTACAGTACAGTTGAGTCTGTAAACATGGGCATTGCCCGAGGCACTTATTTTCACTGAGAGGTGAATAAAAATTCTGTACTTGTGTACAAGTACATTTAGTCTTGTGTGTGAGTAACAGACAACGTTTTGCCTCTGAGGCTAGCCCGGGAGACTGGATATTACTGTACTGTGTGTTTCTCTACTCATCTATGTACGTTTTGAACTACAGTATTGCATACTTTCAGTTGAGGGTTTTGTACTTAGTGAGAGAGAATCAAGCTGTTGGCACTTACAACTGCTTCCATTCTCCTAGCATTGGGTGACACATCCACATCGCAGCCGTTTCGGTGCTAATGTCTAGTAGTGTTAGTAGCCTTCCACATCACAAAACTTTCCTTGGTTCCGTGGAGACTGAATCTCTCTGCCTAATCTCAATTTACCTTCCTTCATTGATTCCCTTTTACGTCTCCTTTCTCTCGCCCATTTTCCCCATCTCTTGCACTTTTTGGTTTCCGTCAGCTCTCTGGCTTGTTCATTCTGGTCAAAGTATCGAAGAACCCTTTTAAAAAATGTTTGTCTTGGGGAGTTTTGCTCGTCTTATGTTTCGAAAAACATTTCCGCCGATGGAGAGCTCCCAACGCCTATTTGGTACATACTACATCGATAAATATTGTGGGATGAATAATAAGTGCTCAATATAATATACCCTATTGAGGGCTAAGAGGTTGTGGGCCGAGCATGACATGCATGTAGCATAATTAATTATGATATAACGTTACGAGGCATTACAGGTTGTGAACATGTGCTGTTTGTGAGTGTAGCAGTGATGGTACAAGTGGATTACTGTCTGTCTTCCTTGTGTACATGGGCTGGTGGCAGGTGAAGGTGTACTGTCATGAGGGAGAGGGAGAGGGAAATGAACATCTCGACTCCATGGATCTCCTCGACGTCAAAAGCGAGCTGGAGAGAGATGCTGAGAAATCCGAGGTGAGCACCACGTTTATAATCCGTGTGCGTTGCATTCTAGTACATGTGTTGCTTAGTACTAGCTTTGTTGGGAAGCATTGTTGTGTGTGTTGTACTGCAATACCACTAGGCTCGTTAAACACACCCATTGTTTGGGGCATGGCTAATTGAAACATTTTTGTTCCACTGCACAGTATACCAATGTAGCTAAACATTGTACGTGCATTTGTGTAACACGGCATTGTATATATATACGCGGCACTCTCAGTGCAATGTACATATGTACATGTGCTATGGTGTGCTATGGTGTAGCTGTAAGTACAAAGCTGATTTCAAACCGTTTCTAAAGAGTGTGATAAATTGTGTGTGGCTATATGGTGGCTATGGTGATCAATGGCCGTGAATGGGTTTTTCATGGGGCAGTAATGATAATGAGAGGGTGAATAACATGAGAGCTTCCGAGTCACACGAAAACCATGCCACACTCCACCCATGCATAAGATCAGTCATTCTTTCCACCCATGCATAAAGTCAGTCTTTTTATATGTGACATTGTGTCCACCAGCTCCTTTAGGGAGTACATATGTACCTGTGAATTTAATAGACTGGTATTTACATACAGTGCATATGTACAGGATGGTCCCTAAGGGGTTCCGTACACTAAGGTAAGTCACACTGCCTGGTGACTCTATTGCAAGCGTCAGTCACAAGGTGAAGCACAGGCAGACTGCTGCTTGTGTAAGTGGGTGGAGGATAGCCCGCACTGCAGATGATCTCAGCTTCCCTCCTTTCAAGGACCGCATCACAGCACCACTAGCACGTACGCACCACGTAGAGCTACAGTAGTAATACTTGTACCGCAGCTGTGTGCCGTGCCCAGCACTGACTGACTGGCTGTCTGTCTGTGCCACACACTACACAGAGGAAGAGGCGCTCACTTGTGGGGATTCGCAGAGCTATGCTGGCAGTACTACAGCCTTGTTGTCCCGTTCAGATGGCAGGGGGGGCTTTGGTGTGGGCTGGAGTTGAATAGTGTGCAACTGAGGGAGTAGTGAAATCCCATGCAGGGAGGGCACACTTGCATAATATGCATGGCTGTCTTATGATGTGTGTGTGTGTGTGTGCTCTTTGCACCGTGCGCTGTTCACGTCCTGCCTGGTGGTTATGGCTGTGTGATGTCGTTTAATTGCTGTGTGAGCAGTAGCTTGGATTTCTGGTAATGCCGCGCGGTCGGTGTCCCTGCATTTGGGGCGTGCACTCGTCCATTACGTGAAAACCCCACCACCCAGTAGAGTGTTCATCCTTGTATGAACCTTGCAGAGTTGCAATGTCCCCACCAACTCTATGTACATCAATAGATCACACTTTACTTGTCAGAAAAGGAAGGAGGGAAAGAGAGCGAGATGGGCTACTGCGGATTCATTCCAGTGCGGATGTTTCCTTTCAAGAAAAACAGCTGTGCAGGCCTAGCAACATAGAGTGTTTCCTTGTCTGGGCACTACTGTTGGTTATTATTCTCAGTTGACCTGGTATGGTAGACGTCTGGTAGATGGATGATTGGAGAATTTAGTCGATTTGGAGGGGCTGGGGAAGACCATCTTTATTGTGGGAGTTGTAGCTCAGTGCGTTGCTCTGGACCTACAGTTTCAGCGTGTTAAGTTTAAAAAGTTAGTTATTTCGTTCTCCTCTCCTCCTGGACAGTGTACATACTTGAACGAGTCTTCAGTTGGTTCATTGAAGTTGTAGCTGTTGTGGTTTGAAGAATACAGCCATATTAATAGAGTGCAGAAACTGCCACATGTTCACACGCAAATCACATCCCTATTTGCAGCCACAAGTATGCCCAGAATGGTATGTTATTGTGACCTAATGGTGAAGGAATCCAGAGAATTACCGCCTTCCTGCAGCCTTCTGTGCAACTTTGAGGAGGAGAGGATGGGAGTAGGGGTGGTGGGTGTCTTAAGAGAGGAAGGGGGTAATTTAAGATTGCTGGGACGGATGGCTTTCTTCAAAGGGTTACCTCGGATTAATTAATCCGCGCATCTCGCTCCCAATCCCCTGCCTGTAGACTAAAGAAATTATGAAGAGTGCATGTTCAGCGAGAGAGTAAGGAAGGTCTTACGAAAGGTAGAAAGAAAAAGTGCTCTACCAGTTTGGGAGCAGTTTAGTTTTATGGAAGAGGAGAGGTGTTAAGAGAGGAAGGGGTAGTGGCAGAGGGAGGAGGAGAGGGAGGCTAGGGGAGAGTCAATGGTGTCTCAGGTATTGGCCCTGCCGCCAACATCCTACATGGAGTTCCGTCTATCTCACAGACATTGCAACACTTCACACATGGTGTCATGCACACCCCTTGCATTCAAACAACGCTATCCCATATCCAGACGACTACCTTCAATATTGTCAGAACAGTGTACATGCTGTTTGTGGCAAACTTGAGTGTGTGTGAAAAATTATTTTGTCAATTTTGGTGAGTGTGAAAAACAGAGTGTAGAGCTTGTAGCTGTGTGTGTACTTATCCTAGCATCAATACCACCTCTTATTCCTACTATTAAAAATCAACAACATTGATATACACAGGACAAGAGACATTCAAGTACATTGCTTGTCGAGTCATTATGATAGCAGCGTGGCTCTGAATGGCAGGCCATTTGATGTGGTGGCGTGACTGGGCCCCAAGTCTTGAGCCAAAGTGGAACAAAGTGCCGGCTACTCAATGCAGCAGGCAGGGTTCAGGCATGTGTGAATATGCACCCAGCAATAGTGGGCTGGTAGGAGGCTGAATGAAGGGAGGGACTAGGGCTAAAGGGGCGGGAGTGGTGTCCGGCCAGTCAAAGGGTTTTGGCGGCCACTTGATCTCCCGTAGCGTTCGCCTCGCGACACGTGTCAGCTGCTGTTGTCCCGTCCGCCGCGTGCACTTGCAGTTTGGTAGATCTCACTCAGGGGACGTGTCTCTCTGTGTGTGGAGCGTGAATGAACTCCACACACTGTATCCAAAGCCAATTCATGATAAAGACACAAAGTGGCCTTTATATGTTATAGCATTTGAGGACCTCTACTGTGATAAATAGATAAAAGTGCATGTCCCTTGAATGGATTTAGTTGAGTGGCGATTGACAAGTCATAATATAATGCTACAGCGGGCAATACTACGTATGTACAAAGATTGTGGCTGGCTGGTGGTTACTGACATGTTCTTTCCCCTGCAGACACCTCCCAATGCATCCACCGCCACCGCAAGTTCCTCCAGCAGTGGTGAGTACAGCAGTGTGACCTCTCTGCATGTCTCCTCTCTCTTCTATTTGTGTTTCCTTAAACCCTATTTCTGTGTCGTAAACTTCAATGTCCCCTCATTTTCCACATTACATGAACCTATGCACACAGCATGTCTAGTTTTAGCACAGGTATCTGTTGGTGTATTATCAAAGGCAACAGAAGTGCAATTATGCCGTGGATTGCTTTTGAATGCCTTAGATTAATCTTCTTAAAACCGTCATGGCCTGGCTGACAAACTGTCCTTTGAGCTAAAGTGCGCTCAAGTCTTCAGGCACTGATCTAATGCAAACATGAAAGTTTGGCATTCTGCTTCATGAATTTTCCGGTACTACGCTGCTACAACAATGAGAAAAAGTGATTTTAGTGGAGGGTTTCTAAGTGGGTGTCTGGTGTGCCCACATTGGCCGTACAAGGTCCCTTGAGGTTGGCAGCTCTCACCAGAAACAGTCTCCCATTATGGCTAGTCTCCATGCTACACCTCTACCCTGCTCTCCCCGCTCCTCCTTGTGAGGATCCACTGTTGCTCGTTTTGCTGAAATAGTGTTTATTTCACCGCCTTTAGCTATCTAACAACGTCCTCTCTAATTGAGGGTTGGCATGCATAATTGGGTGGGTGGGTGGGTGTCTAAACTTTTAGTTTTAAAAGGGTGTGTGAGTATTTATTTTGCCTCTGTGGTATGCATAGTACAAACCAATGTCATGTTACCACGAGTGAAATCTGTATCACGGTTTTGTGAGTGCGTCTTTTTTCTGTTTGACTTTACAGTATATGGTTTATGCTCTTGCACATTGTAGGAATCTACATAGTTTATGCTCTTGCACATTGTAGGAATCTACATAGTTTATGCTCTTGCCCATAGTAGGAATCGACGAATGCGAAACGCGTGCTAACTAAAGGGTTTGTGAAGAAGCCTGTTGCAAACAACCATATGAGTGAGAATACCAATATTTTCGGCTCATCTTTCGTTTTGTTTACAAACACTTTGCTCCCATGCATGTCGTGATTCTCCATCCTTTTCTCCCTATTTCCACTTGCCCCCTTCTCCTTCTCCCCCTATTTCCTTCTCTTAATTCTCTCCCTCTCTCTCTATCCCTCCCCCACTCACACAACCTTCTTCTGTAGCCACTACAAGTGTCAGTTCAGCAGTTCACCAGATCAGATCTGTCCTCTCTCCATCCATGGTAAGCCAGCATACCCCAATACAAAAGAACACACTGCATTCTCAGAGCAATATTCACCTTGCTCTGTACCTACAGTATGATGTATGTGGCAAAGTATTTGCCTAAAGGTTTTGGGGTATAGTCCCACACTTTGTGGCCATTGGAGGGAGAAAGTCCAACATAGCATAATAAGACACCTGCACCTGTATACAAAAAGCCAGGAAATCCCTATAGATGATATAATGATATATGTGAACTTTTCCAATTCAACAAACCCCAGAGGAAGCAGTGTTGCATGGGTGTAACTTTTTGAGCTACAATTCGAATCCTGGTGCAGGGTTTTAGACTACTGCTGCTGATGTCCCCAGAAGCAGGTCTGGTGGGTTAGGCTGAATGTAATTCTGTGGTGGACTGGTAATTGTGGCCTAAAGTGTCCTGATAAAGCCAGAGGTTCATTATCCAGTGTTTCTCAATTACCAGCTTTGGGGGGCTATCTGCTAATAGGCCTCTGAAAGGCAGTTGTGTAGTTAATGAGCCACTAATCCTATTAGGGCTGAGAGGTGTAGCCTGGCCTGCTGCTGATAGGACTGTCTGGCCTGGCCCTGCCTCTCCTTGTTTGGTTCAGCTCTGTATTGACCTGGGGGCCACACCTAGCTACTGCTTCTGTCCCATTCAACCCTGGCCTACTACTGAGTTTGTCTCTGCATATTTATGGTTGGGGTCCAAGCTTTGAAAATATGTTTTATCCTCCCACCAAGTCAAGTTTTTTGTGTGTTGATCTGAGGAATGTGTACGTACAACTATGGTCATGCATAATAGGTCAGAATCAAACTGAGATTCAAAATACGTGAGAATTGATCATCCAAACAACCCCAGAATGGTAGTTTGTATGATTATACATCACATTACCACGTGTAATGGTTTCATTCCTTCTCTAGTAGGTTTGTGTCGGGCTACTAATGATCACAGCAGACATTAGTTCCCAGTTAACCAACCATTACTTTGGTGCATAGCTTTTTACCTGAAATTCCGTGTGTGTTTTCTCTCAATAGTGAAAGTGAGTGAGATGTCATGTTGAAGCTCGAGTGTGTGTACATGTAGTGCTAGTCACCAATGGTTGTTGTGTGTGTGGTGTTGGGTGGAGGGCAACTGTTTGTACGTAGCTCTCTGCAATACCCTCTTCCTCCCTCTCTCCCCCTCACTTCCTCTCCACGCATTCCTCCACCTTACAAGGCACCTGCACGTCCCTCTCATCTCCTTTGATGTTTCCAACTACAGAGTAGCCCTGGAATTCCGCAGGCTTTGATCTGCCCAGCCTGCCTTCCACCATGTGCATGTAGTACTGCCTGTTGTTGTTTGAGGAGCTAGTGAGTGGTTTGGCCCACCTTGTACTCTGTGTACATTGCTGTCTGGGGAAGCCTTACACATTGTTGACGGACTTGCCAGTGTATATACCCCCCTTCCCTCTCCTTACTACACTGTCTGGTGTCTTCCACCCCTCCAATTGTTATTTCGCCTTTACCAGCAACTTGTGTCAACTCACGAATGTTTCACTACGCGTTCTTTGAAGGCGGCCGCAGAGCTCTCTGTTGTGGGGAGTGAGGAAGCTTTGCTGGCCACCAGCTGAGCCGCTCTTATAGTGGCACACCATCTGCAACTGAGTAATCAGAAACTACTCTTCGGTCACTCTGTAGAAATTGCAGGGGCCGCCTCCTACGTAGTATAATCGATCCTATTCATTTACCCGCACTAGTTTGCCAATCCCTGTTGTCGGTTCTAGAATTGCTTGTTGCAGTGTTTACAGCCGTTGATGAGAAATATCCACCTGTTTGGCATCTGTATTCACAAAATAGAGTCACCTTGGCTGAATCTTTAATATTTTGGTGTCTTATGTTCTGTTGTGTGGATGGTGTATATGTCATCATTGTAAATCTCTGTTTCAGGAAGGTATGAAAGACATGCCATTGAATGAATATTATTTAGGAAGCCGTTAGTTCTATCCCCAACATGGTGTCAGTTTTTTTAAATGCAAAGACTTCTTTCTCTTGCTGCTTTAAACAGTTGTCCCATCATTATGCTCTTGTGGCTAGTTACGTGTATCTAATTTCAGGAAGGAATAAAGGCATCCCATGGATAACAACGGTCCTTGTTATGCCATTACGAAATGCTGATGCCAGTTGGTCAATTTTCTAATGTGGGGTCCATGCTTCAGTTACATACTTCTTTATGTGGGCTGTAGTATGCAAATTGGTAATTATCGTTGGGCTTACTGTATCGTTAACCCTCGCTCCGCTTGTGTAGCCAGCGGTACAGTACTTGCTCTATTTGTCCGTCAATCCGTCTGTCTTCTTTCTTTTGCCGTGTTTCTACTACACCTTCGAATAAGTGTGTCTTTAGTGTCTTTCTGCACTCGCACTAAAAAGTGGAAATTAATGGAGATCAATGTGCAGAGTATTGCAACGGAGAAGGAGGAGAAGGCTCCATCTGTTTTCTCGCTGGGCCTATCCTCTGTTATTATGTACTTCTTTTATGGCAGTAGTAGGCAAATTGGTCCAGGTGGTATTAATGGGATAATTGTAGTGAATGCTGTGTCATTATATCTCAACTCCCACTGAAACGATGCAGTAGTGCGATGGAGGAGGAGGAGGAGGGATGCTCGATGATAATGACCGGCTGGAGCCTATCTTCTGTGTTATGTCTGCAGTGCATTAGCCGGTTTATTGGGAGGGACACTGGCTCCAGGTGTGCCAACACTAGGCCATCAAGGGATTCCTGCGATCCCTCACAGGTTTCTGTGGGCGAACATTCGCTGGAGTGCCACGCACTCTGCCAACCTCCTCCCCACTCTCTCCCCGCTATACTAGTTAATACTGTCCTCACACGTTCCTAGAGACACACTTCTGAGGGGGCCGGTATGCGAGGCAGCCGCGGAATTCAGAGAATGTGCTTTGGTATAATGATTATCAATGTCAACTGGCTCAATACGTGGGTGGAGGTGTGCTGATCCTCTCTCCCTCTCTCTGGGGTGGTCAGTGGTCAGCAGTCTAAGCTAAGTGTGTGGTTATTGTCCCTGCACTGCAGTTACTGTGTGGGAGGTAGGCAGGTATGTAGGGAGGGCTATTCACTGATTGCAATTACCTGTCACCTGTGCATTAGACCTTTGGGCAGCTCACAATACGCTTGGCTGGATGTGTGTAGTGTCGACGTCACACATCCCAGTGTGTGTAACAGGAGAGTGTGTTTGGTGGGCTCCATTACTGACCATTATCAGCCCTCTGTTGGCTACAAACGACTAACTACGTTTGAAACTGTTGAACCATTCGTAGGACCAGTCTGTAAGGACCACCTTCACCCCTGTAGGATAGAAGTACTAATAGTTTTTTCCCTTTATTGGCTCATTTTGGCTAGCTAATGTTTCTGTTGTCCTTTTGAATGAACACGGTCACAATAAGAATTGGTTTTAGAGCTGACCTCTGCACTGTGAATTTCAAGGAGTTGGTTATTACATCATGTCTGAGATTGCAGCCTGCCGCTGTTATCTTTGTGAATGTGAGAGTAACTGATTGTATTGTCTGTTGGCCTCCAGGTCTACAACGGAGTAGCTGGACCGTTTGTGATGCCTCCGTTTGCGACTGCAGCCGGGACTCCTCTCTACAATGTTGCCGGTCTCAGACCTGTCAAGATGGAGGGGGCCGACTGGTGAGTCCTGCATGGGTCCTGTATGTGTAACTCTATTTTCATAGCTCCTTCATAATGAAACTAGGCGAAATACGTACCTGCTTATTAGAAACTACTTTGAAAGCCCTGGATTTCATGTTACTATTGTCTACTGTACTGTAGGGTTTGCAATATAAGATGGCTCAGGTCAGCATGCAGTGCACCACTACTTATGTAAGGCAGTAGAGTGTGTCTGACATCACACGCCCTGTGTTCTGTCCTCCTAGTAATAGTTGTACATACCCTGCCGTTGCCAATTTTACCTTCTCTCTCCTATTCTCCCTCTTCTATCCTACTCTCTCCCCCCTCCTCTCTCTCCCTCCCTCCTCTCTCTCCCTCCCACCTCTCTCTCCCCCCTCTCTCTCTCTCCCTCCCTCCTCTCTCTCCCCCCTCCTCTCCCTCTCCCCCCTCCTCTCCCTCCCCCTCCCTCCCTCACCTCTCTCCCTCCCTCCTCTCTCTCCCTCCCTCCTCCATGTCCCTTTCCCCCCAGGGCCAAGGTAACGGCCGGTGGGATGACAACCATCCCAGCATACAGCTATCCCGGGTTGGTGTCCGGTTTACCGATGGACCAGACCGGTCTGAGGTCCACATATCCCTTCATGATCCCGGGCCAGTATGTACAGGTCCCATATCAACATCAGGTTAGCTCTATACAATTAGTTTGTGCATATGTACCTCAGTGCAACACCAAGTATTGTATATAGCAGTGTCCATTTCATAAAACTGGCAAGAGCCTTCGCTGCATACCGTCTGTTACAACTCGTTCAGTTGACGTGTCAGTTGCTTGGCAACGTCAAACAACTGTCCGTAAGAAAGGTGATAGTAATGCAGTTACAGTACAGCATACTCCCCTGTAGAGGGTGGTTGCTTAGTAACAACATCAACGGATGTACAGTTGATGTGGGTAATCCAACTGCTCATCCGCAAGTGATTATATATTCATACAATGTGTATAGTGGCATCAACAGTGCAAAAGCTCCGCCCTCTCATAACACACATGTCTTGTATAGAAAACGGAGCAGAAAGTAGCGAGGCTCCCTTCATCAAAGAGACTTGGTGTAGTCTGCGTGTATTGGCGGAGGCTAAATATAACCCTAGTCCAGTATTGTAATGTGGTGAGGAGTTGGGAACGCCAGTGGAGAGCAGGTGTGGCTACAGTGCCAGAGGTGCAGGGCTGGACTGGCTCTGAGTAAGGCACGGTGTTGGCCCAACACCACACCTTTACCAGAAGTGGACCTCCACACATGTATGCGGTGTATGGCCATTTGTGAGACTGGCTAGCAGGTGCAGGTCCCAATATGAAGGAGAGGGCGTGAGTGTACGAGGACTGGAGGTATGTGGGGGTGTCCACACTGGGTATTGGTGTGGCTTCTTGTTGTCTACCACACTTTATACATAGACTGGTGCATGTTCCGCCGGCACTGTGCCATGGCAACTAAGTGAGATGTAGAGTAACAGACAGACAGACAGACACACAGACAGACCCAACTAATGTACCCTCACTGCGCACTTGCGCCGAGGGTAAACAGTACAAGTGTATTGAAGATGTTTAAAGTGTTAGGTATTTTAGGGAAACAACATTTTCTGTTGTAAGCCTACAGCTCTTGCAACCAGACCCTTGCGGTGTGCACTCGTGGGTGTGGCTCTGCCAGACTCAGTATGGAATGGACTAGCCTTAACTCTGTAACTAGCTTAGCTTACACTATAGTAGTTGTAGTCATTGTCACACAAGCTCTTGCTCCTGCTCGTCAGGAGTTAGGTGTTGGCGTATACGCAACCTGAAATCTTGGGTCAGATGCACCAACATTCTGCATGTAGTGTGGCATCTGCATACTATCAACAGCTACTATTTGGTATACATATAATAGGATTCAGGCTGTACAGCTGGGCTTGATTCCTGCTTCAGAAATGATTTTTAGACAATGTGATCTCGCAACTTCCTGTAATACACTGGGCCATATTATGTGTACATTGCGAGTGAGATTGAGAGTGAGATGAGGTAATTGTGCTGGGGCTTCATGGTCGTCTTTGAATATTAAACCTGCTGCAAATACATACGTATTGCTCCATCGATAGCATCCGTTCTCTCCTATTACACCTTTCCCTCTTAACACCTATCCCTCACCCTCCCCCCTCCCTCCATCCCCCTCCTCCCTCCCCCCTCCCCCCTCTCACTCCAGCTACAGACACTGACCAGTCACGCAGCTCCCAATGCCTCAGTCCAGCCAACCTCTGGAGTCATCACTCCTCATGTATGCCCCTACACCACTCTGCATGCTTCTGCAAATACACCTAACTCTTGGGGGCTGAATAATTATTACCACGCATTACAGTGAATCATGCCCCTACACCACACCCTGCATGCTTTTGCAAATACAGTTAATCGTGCAATAAGCAGACCTAAGTGGCGCAGTGGTAAGCGTTTGATTTTGTTAGTACGAGATCGATCCCCGCCACTGCAACCTTGCACAAAGTTTTCTTAACATATCTACATTAGAGTTGGGGGATTATAAGACAGAGTTGCTTGACCTCTTGACCTCTGGTCACACCCATACTTGCATTTCCTTGTCTCAGTTTTTGGCATTGGTCCTCTTGTGTGAATAACTTCCCACTAATTGCCACGTAACCTAATGTACGTCCAACTTGGAATGTTGTCCTCCTACACCGTGTATTTTGTCCCATTACATCACCTTCTTTGGCTGTACTTTTTATTGCTCCACCTTCTTCTCCTCCTCTTCTCTTCTGCTCCCTACCTCTTTACCTCCATCTTCCTCTGTTCACCCTTTCCTTCTATCCTGGTTCTCTCTCCTCCCCTCCTCCCCTCCTCCCTGTCCTCCCCTCCCCCTCCTCCTTCCTCTCCTCCTCCTTCCCCTCCCCTCCTCCCCTCCTCCCTCCCCTTCCACTAACAGCAGGTGAAGGAAAAGAAGCCTCACATCAAAAAGCCACTAAACGCCTTCATGTTGTTCATGAAGGAGAAGAGGGCAGAGGTCATCAAGCAGTGTACTCTCAAAGAATCAGCAGCAATTAACCAGATTCTTGGCAAGATGGTCAGTCCTCTATTATTCTCCTATTAGCAGTGTAATGATGTACACATACGTATATACTTAGGAGGGGATACAGTTCCTTCAAATATGTGACCGTCCACGCGAAAAAGCGGTATAAGTCGGCAAAATTGATTTTTAGTAAACAGCCTTACAAGTCGAAACAGCGGGTACCGTGCGATTCAGTCTTTTTTAACACAAGGACCTACATCTATCTAGAAGACAGCTACATGCTTTAGAGCGTCGAAACTCGCTCGCCAAGGGCCGTGGCGGCGCCTCGAAGTAGGCAACGTCGATCTCTACGCGACCGTAAACGGGCGCAATACACGGGAATTAGATGGAGAAATTTACGGGCCGTCAAAAAAAAACCTAATGAGGAGCTAGGGTTACCAACAATGCTAAGAGCTTATCTGCTACCTTCGTTGAGCCTGTCTTCTTCGTTTCCACGAGAGATAGCCTCGTTCCACAACCGTGCAAGCGGCTTTAGGGGGCGTGTCAACGCACGACGTGTAACGGAGCGCGTATGCGGAAAATATGTCCACGCAGAAAAATTGCCGTTTCTCGGATGTCGAAGGTCTGACTCCCGGGTACAAAAGCAGCTATATCTCCAAATGGAACGGGTCATCCGCACCAAATTTTGAACGAGCACGGCAAAAGGGTAGAAAACGCGGAATCCGGTGAAATGTTGAAAAATATTCTTGCCGACTTATACCGCTTTTTCGCGTGGACGGTACATATTAATGTTACGTTCGTTATATATACATTACATGGCCTGTACGTTAGTACCTGTTCGAGCAGATTAACTGACTTTGCAAAGACAAGTTAAAAAGGTTGTTGATGAATTTTCTTTTCCGTCTTAAGAAGCCTGTGTTTTGTTTTTCCTTCTGTGAACAGGAACTAGTACATGTGGACAGGGTATTGTTGGATAATGGTGCTGGGTTTAAATGCAGCTGTGTACAAACCAGCATGCTGTCCATCAACTTTAGGGCCAATAAGTGGGGGGTCATGTATTGGCTCTGGTGGCAAATAGAGCTATTCAGTTTCTCATGGAACAAGAAGCTGGGAGATTTTGCCAATAGACTTGGTTTTGTTTGTCCATATGTTTGGGGAGACAGTGTGTGTGTGTGTATGTCTGTACGTACTGTACATGTAGACAGTTTCCTGAGTTAGTGCACTGCCGGTATGAGTAAGAAAACTATTGCTGGTGATGTCAACAGTGTAAAGTAGTCTCAGCTGGATGGCTGGTTGTGTTTCCCACAGTGCTGGTGTTTTTTTTATTAACCCTTGCTTACGCACATGTGCAGCGAGGTTTGCTGTATGTGGTCTATGTTTGTGTGTGTGTGTCCATCTGTCCGTCCATCCTTTCCTCTTCCTTTGTGTGGAGCAATTCAAATGTCACACTTGCATTATAATTATAGCTCTAGTGGAATCTTAATCTGTTTTACCTGACACTGAACTGTGCGTCTGTCATATATACAGTGGCACAAGTTGGACCGCAGTGAGCAGGCCAAGTACTACGAGCTGGCGAGGGAGGAGAGGGCGCGGCACATGCAGATGTACCCGGGCTGGAGTGCCAGAGACAACTATGCCGTCCACAAGAAGAGGAAGAGGAAACCAAAGAAACAGAGCCAGCCCGAGGAGACTGCTGTCATGGCAGAGGAGAAAGGTCGGTGCTCAATGTTTGTTCTTCTTCTGTGACTCACTTACATTCTTTCTCCTTCTCTTCTTCTAAACTTCAGTTTTGCGTCACTTTGTTGTGTCTCACTCCTTTTGTCTTCCTTTGTCTAATTGTAAGTTAGTTACTCCATTCGAGGGAACTACGGGATTTCAATGAACCCGAGGGCCTCCGCATTGTAGTGTCCCGAGTGCAGCGAGGGCAACTACGTGGATGGCCCAAGGGTCATTGAAATCCCGTAGTTCCTGAGTATATGGAGTAACTAGCACGTTTAGTGCAGAGCAGACAAATCCGCATATGCGCAGCGCCTGTTTCCAGGCGACTGAAGTTCAAGAAGATGCGACAGGTTAAAGACTCGAGCGAGCTTTCAGCCACAGCGGCGAGCCAGAAACAGTAGGAGAAGCTGCAGCACTTGCACGTTGTCTGCCGCACTTCGTGGCAAAGTGTTCCGCGCACTGTATGCGCACATATATGCGGACGTGACGTACCACTAGTGCTAGCGTACAGGCACTTACGTCTAGCTAGGCCCAGACATCTTGTCTCTCGGTGCTTAGTGTTGAAACTAAAAAATAATTATTGTGGATGATAAAGCTACAAGTTTCTGTAGATGATGTACGTGATCTTGTCATTTTCATGTGAAAATGTTACATGAAAGACAAGGTTTACTACGGAAATAAAAAAACCTCGTGTGGACCAATCAGATTGCTCGATTTAAACATGCTATGCATTAATGCCACTTCCTGTTGTTCCATAGGAAACTCGAATTCATTACTCGTCCAGTTTACACGTTTTGGCTAATGGATGTAGTTGGTGAATTCCTTCATTACCATGAATACTCTTTCCCTCTTGTTGTCTCCACTGTAGACTCCAGTGGAGTTGCTCCACTCTCCCCTGACCCCAACTCTCGCAAGTGTAGGGCACGTTTTGGACTGGACCAGCAGCACATGTGGTGTGGCCCCTGCAGGTGGGAAACCACTCTCACCCACACTCTCCTCATTTTCACCATCTCTCCATCCCTCTCCTTCCTCTTATTACTCCCCACTCTATTCTTAGCTATGCTCCTTTCCTTTAGCATTGATAGTCTGTTACTCTATGGTATTGTCTTCGCCCATGTGACCTACTACAGTGAATCTCCCCCTAATAAGACACTCTTACCTCCAATGTCAATGAATCAAAGTGTGTTTCCCCTATTCAAACAATGCACTTCACTTCCTGTATTTCCATTGTCATAGTGGTATTCTTGTGTCTGGTCTCAGGCGTAAGAAGAAGTGTATCCGTTGCTCTGAAGGAGATGGAGAGTCGGCCCCAAAACCAGACGACACGCCCCTCGAGGATGATGTAATGTCAGGCAACTATGAACATGCGAACACTAGCGGCAGTAAGAGTGAAGGACCAGGAGAGAAATTACCAGTAGCCAACACTACATTCGGTGCATTAGTTAACATTGAGACTACAAAAGATGCTTCAACCAGCGGCCAATCAACTTCCTCAGCTATACCTCCCGTTACTCTTGGCAACCCAACTGCTACCACATGATTGTCACATGACCTTCCAATCAGCTCCACCCCTTTCATTCCCTCCATGTTTATTGTCTCCACTGCCTTATTTTCTATACAGTTCTATGCAACATTACTCGTGGTGCCTATTATAAAACTAACTGATTCTACTTGTTATTGCTCTGTGAAACATGAATCATCAATGATGTTATTTTGTGTTGACGTCATTTTGAGGATGCATGACTATAGCATTGGTGTTATGTTCAGGGGCGTGACTGTAATACATTGTTGCGTTTGTGGAATACATGCTGAGTAAGAAAGAGGTTAAACACTGTGTTTTGGGTCAGACAGGACACTGCAACCTTTTACTAGAGACAACATATGCTTCACTCGACCAGCCAAGGACACATAAATGTGTTCAGAGCCTTCATAAGTCGAATTTATATGGAGGTGATAATACTTTATACTGCTTATTTAAGCATACCCATGGCGATTTATGGTTCAATGGTGTGTTTAATGAGCTACATAAACTGTCCCTCTCTTAATCCACTCTTCTTAGAGAGGTGACTCCGCAAGACTAGCTAAACTGAACCAGTGCTGATTTTTTTCATTCACCCGGGCAGTTGGTTTCGTAAGAAATTTTTTTTACGCTACACTACAGAGATAGCTGTGGCCCTGCTCTTTGTTCAGGCCACTGCTGGCTTTGTCAAGACACATCTTTTACCAATACCTTCTTTTAGAGCCCTGCCAGTGCATGGTATGCTTGGGCACACTATTATGTCACAACTCCAACATGTCTGTAAGACAGTCTTCAGTGTGACTCCTGTTATTGAAACCGATTGTTTTCAGTTGAGAGCCTTAGTCTGTTTCAGTTGATCAAAGACCTAATAAAATGCTTTGCCATACGCTAGCTACACCAATAAGCTTCACTTTTTTAATAGCCTATTTAGTATTTCAATCCTGCATCCTCTTCTATCATAGTTAGTGTAGTTAGCCCGCGTCAGACTCTGCGTGAGCTGGCAAGAGACCACGAGTAACAGCTAAAACTAAACCCAGCCCATCAATTAGTTGTACGGCGCATGCATTTACTTCGTGTGCTCACAATGTGCCAAGGGTTTGCACTTCAGTGCTTTTCATTAAAAACATAACCAAAACAACAGGCATACAAAATAATAATTATAACCAGATAATGCAATATTATGGGTTTGTATAATCAGCTATTGTCAAACTAGATGACAATCACACCCACTCAACATGACATCTTAACTTTAGCTCTGTGGGAACTTCTGTTTTCAACCATCTTGGCAGACACAGTTTCTTCAAGCTGGTATTCTTATCTTGCAAACATTTCAATAGTGATGACACTCCCTCTTCTCCTAGTTCTTTATCACCTGTAAGCTTCAGTTCCTCTAGTGATGAGTTTTTCTCTAGACCTACACACAATCCTCTCACTCCAACATCTCCTAGTATATTGTTAGACAAGTCTAGATACCTCAGAGTCTTGTTTCTCGCTAACGCTGCACCTAACTCCACACCGCCACTGACTTCAACTTCACATTTTCAAGATTAAGTCTTTGCAGGGAACTGTTTTTCTGTAGCATTGTTGCAACAGCAACATCATTCATCTGGTTATCCCTTATTATCAACTCCTTCAGTGTATGATTGTCACACAGTCCAGTTACTATTTTTCCTAGTCCATTACTAGTAAGATTACAAGAGGTAAGGACCAACTTCTCTATCCGACAGTGTACAGGTTCTCTAAGCAGCTGTCCCAGATGCACAGAGTGAAGGTCGGTCAGTTGACAGCCCCACATATCAAGTTTCCTCATTGAGCTATTGATATTCAAAGCTTTGCATAGTGCGTCGATACTTTTAACTGAGATTTTAGTGCGTCTGATCTTCAGCTCTTCCAAACTTGCACTTGATCGGATGTAGCTTGCAAGACATTCAAAGTCAGGATCACTTATACTAGTTCCAGACATGTCCAGTTTTGTTAGTTTGCTGCTGTGAAGAGATGACACTAGCTTTACTGCGTCTCCATTTCCAATTTCTAGATTTCCACTCAGGTCTAGTATCGCAAGACATGACATCCTCTGAATACCTTCAGCTAGACACTCGCACCCTCTTCTGTCTAGCTTGCTGCTAGAAAAATCGAGTTGTTCGATAGATTGCAGTAATGGTCGAGGAATAGTCAGAAAATGTCTGATGCCTTCGTCTGTGATAGAGCCTTTCTTGAATGAAACTAAAACAAATTGACTAGAGATGCCAGTCTCAGGCAGTTGATGATTGCAGCCTTTACTGAGAAACTCCATTACCACATCATCAGCAGAGTCAAGGTAAATCGTCCATGTACAGTTGGAGTGAGCTAGACAGTATCCTGCAGCAAAGTAGTCTGTGGTGGTTGCAGAGTAGGACAGGCTCAGTTCTCTCTCACCAGAGCCCAAGACATTTGTAAGGACTGACTGGTTCTGGGACTCATACAGCCACCGGTACAAGGCGGCTGCATCTTTACTCAGCAGGTCTGAGAGAATCCCTACTGGAAATGTCTCTAGCTTATCGATTCCGGCCAGGAATTGGAATGTCGTTTCGTATTGTTTTGCCTCATAAAAGGACCTGCCACGTATAGTCTTTTTCATTATAAGACACTTAGTGTCAATGATAGTCATCAGTTGCTGAGGTTGTAGATGTGAGAGGTGTAAGAGCTGCAAGGTACTCCTGGACTGTGTAGTGCAGGAAATTGTAGGAGACCCTGTCATCTTCCTCGTCATAAACCTGAGGGACAGTCTGCAGGAGACCCAGGGTGGACACTCCTTCAGGAAGACTGGAGAATACTATCATCTGCTGGGACACTCCTTCATAAGCCAGGCCACACAATCGCTGCAAGTCCCCCAGCACTCTCTCTGGTAGATCGGCCAGTGTCCTCACTTTTATGTTCATGTGGCTGTACTCCGGGTGCTCTGAGAGGTGTTGCTCCAGTCTCATGAGGACGAAGGCAGAGTAGAGTCCAGTGACGGTGGTCGGAGGATTGTGTGGGGCAGACTTGAACACTTGTTCTACAATGGCAGCACTGACTGGGGTGTACATGGCTGCACGTATCACGGGATTGGACTCAATGAACTTTGAAAAGTGGAATCCTGAATCAGCGCTTGTCTGAGAATGGATGGCAACAATCATTGCTGTGATTTGATTCTCAACTTCCTCCTTTGCCAGTGCCAGTAACTCTGTGTGCTGTGATAGTCTGTCTCCCACTCTCTCTAGCAGACTTCCAGTGGCCCAGGGTCGGGTTGTGATGAAGATGGTGGCAGCAGGTAGCTGGATGCCTTGGATCAGTTCAGTAAAGAGAGAGTCTGACCTCAGATCACCAGGCAACTCGTCCCAGGCCTCCAGCCAAATCAGACATCCAGCACCACCACTCTCTGCAACTCTTCTGCTCACTTCCTCTCTCACTTGTCCTCTGCTGTGTTGGAAGAGGCTGGAGAGGGAGCGGATTTGTCTGACGTTGTCGTCTCTGAGGGGCAGCAGTAGCACAATGGAGTAGGCCTGCAGCAGCTTGCCCTCTGCCCACTGCCGGCACTGGTGCCAGGCAAACGTGGTCTTGCCAACTCCCGGAGCCCCTTCTATCAGGACCACCTGTGGCGGAGAGCCGTCCCCTATCACTCCCAGCTGACTCAACTCCATGGCCGTCTTCTTGTAGACCACGTCGTCCATGTCTCCTCGCAGGCTCTCTCTAGTGAACCTGTCCATGTTTGATTGGGAGAGGCTCTGTTTCTCAATCCTGGCCAGACGGAATGGGAGCAGGGGTTTGGGTTTGGAGTCAGAGAGAGGCGTGAGGGGGCTCCTGGATGTGTACAGCTGCTTCAAGAGAGTGGTGTACTGCAGTAGTGGAGTCACATAGCAGACAACACCGTCCACTGTAATGGTCTCTATCTCCATGTCTCCAAACTCTGTTAATTCAGTTGCCTTCACAATGGTATGTAAGTAGTTGACTAGAGAAGGTGGAATTGAGAAAGTCAGTTCCAGACACCCCCTACTGGCTCTGGTGAGGATGAATGTGAAGTCTGGTAGTAGTAGTTTTGTAGCCAGTTTTCCTTTCAAGTTGTCCAGATCTGCTAGTGTGCACGTTTCCCAGTCTTCACTGCTCTTTACTACAAATTCCCGGAGTTCCTTTGTTGGGCAGTCTTGGCCCATCATTGGCCAACATTGCAGAAAGTCACAAAGTCGTGTTTGCGTAAAGAATGAGTAAAGCCTTTCTCTGTATTCATCCATTCTACTTTGTAGTTGTTTGTTTGGGAATTTGGTCAAAATGTGTTGCAGAATGGTATGATTGAGGAAGTTAAAGTACTGGTTCAGCTCCACCCAAATGTCAGTGACTGTAATCTTTTGATGAATCATCTTCTTCATGTGGTCCATGTGGCACTCCTTGTCCCTGATCTTGAATGACGTCAGTTTGACTTTGAAGACATCCACTGGCTGTGTCTTGACTGACTCGTACACATCATCTTTCAGTGTTTCAAACTCATTCTCAAGTTCTTCCATTCTAGACTCTATTTGTTCTGTGGTGAGGAAGTGTTGCTTCTTTTTCACAGTATCAGTGGCAGCACTGGCAGGGTCCTGACTCAAGTAGGTCTGTCTGATACGTTGAGCTACAGCTGGTCTGTCTATGTCAGGGGAAGATAGAGCATCCACCACTGTCTGCCAGGTGGGAGGAGAGGGAAGTTTGGTGAGCCAGACACTCAACATCTCCAACAGACAATTATTAGCATTGTTCATGAACTCAATTCGAATGGCATTAAGATCTGCAGGCTTCATCTTTAACTGCACTCCGAGATGATACCACTTGTCCTTAACTTCGTTGAGTTCATTTACTAGTGTTGCAAGATCATCCGTGGTTAGGGTATCTGCACATTAAACAATCAATAATGAACAACTTGGCATACTAATGTGTGGTACTTACCAGGGCCAGGGTTTCGCTCCACATCTCCAGCCATCATGAGCAGCATCTGATTCACAAACACTATCATTGTCACCTCACTCAGACCAGGCCTCTTTCTGTTAGAGAACATCAAAGACATTAGGTAGCCCACACTTTCCGCCACTGAAGAGGAGAGAGACACACACACATCAAACACACTCTTCATTTCTGCAGTCAGTTTTCCCCACTGACCGTGATAGTGGAGTTGGAGTATGTGTCGACAAAGTAGGATCAGCAGTTGAGACACAAGTGATGTGGCCAGCACAGCACTGGGTCTTGCTCTCATTGCCAGCACCCGAGTCTTTCCCCTGCTAGCCGACTGACAGACATGCTCACTGCCTTCCTTCACCACCTCTTCCGTCCCCAGACCAGACCGGAAAAGCTGTGCTATGGTCACCAACAGAACCACACATCCTTTGTAGACCACAGGATCACTGGTCTTCAGCCACTTGTTCCAGTGGGGACCAATGGGGCTCCGTGGCTTGGGAGCTGCAGACCTAGCCATTGCCCCTACAGCTGCCCTCCACTGTTCCACACTCACTGGCATGACTCTCAGTTGGGAAGTGGAAGTGGTGTTCCAGGAAAAGACAAGATCAGATGAAGATCAGATGTTCAATGAGAGAGATGAGGGGAAGGTGGTCAAGGAGGCGTGGTTGCAGAAGTGAAGAAAATACAAAGTTCAGTTTTTAAATGTCGATTGAATTGAGCTCAGATCTAGAGGTCCGGTTATGTAGCGAACGTATAAAAAATTCCTGCTATGGGAAAGGGAGAGACAAAATTCACACACATACTATTATTCAACAATCTTCTTCATCATGTAAAGTAAATGAAAAATACAGTGGCATGAAATATTCATCCGAACTACGACAATTACATTTCATTGTGCTGAATAAAATCCTACGAGGTTGGGGCTATATAGGACTATGATAACTTCATATCTGCTACTGGATAGGTAGCTATAGGCAACTGTACACAGAAATGACTTGGGCTGCAACTGGGGGCATGTTGGCAGCTGCTTCACTGGGATCTTATATGGGACAACTAGGGACACTTGGGATTAGTTGTGGCACTACTTGATATCATTCTACTGATCGGGTATATACAGGGTTAGCCATACATCTCCGTCACTAGTATATTGGCCAACCCGTTTTTCAAAAAATACCTGCCAATAATGTTAGTACCTAAGGAGAGCAAGTGAAAGGGGAGTGTCAACGAAGAATAAATGAATCAGTGCATATCCTTCTGTCAAGGCACAACAAAAGTTCTAAAATGCAAACTCAATATTTATACACTCTTCAATATCGGGTAAAGTCTGTTCCGCTATCAATAATGCTTTCTTCAGCAAGCTGAAGGGATCGCACAATATTATTTTACAAAGGTATATAGGAGTGGCTCCTACGAGGTTGGGGCTATATAGGACTATGATAACTTCATATCTGCTACTGGATAGGTAGCTATAGGCAACTGTACACAGAAATGACTTGGGCTGGAACTGGGGGCATGTTGGCAGCTGCTTCATTGGGATCTTATACGGGACAACTAGGGACACTTGGGATTAGTTGTGGCACTATATACTTGATATCATTCTACTGATCGGGCATATACAGGGTTAGCCATACATCTCCTTCACTAGTATATTGGCCAACCCGTTTTTCAAAAAATACCTGCCAATAATGTTAGTACCTAAGGAGAGCAAGTGAAAGGAGTGTCAAATAAGAATAAATGTATCAGTGCATGTCCTTCTGTCAAGGCACAACAAAAGTTCTAAAATGCAGCAAACTCAATATTTATACACCCTTCAATATCGGGTAAAGTCTGTTCCGCTATCGATAATGCTTTCTTCAGCAAGCTGAAGGGATCGCACAATATCATTTTACAAAGGTATTATTATAGGAGTGGCTCCTAACGTCATGGATCAGGCCGGTGTGGCTTCTTAAATTCCTGATAACCTATCAGTACGTAGATCACCCTGGACTAAAGAGTATAATTAATGCAGTGTAGCCATTATACTCCTAAATATCATCTACTGATTATTATGAAAAAGTCTCCAAATGATTTCTCAAAAAGGTGTCTCACAATACTCAATCATCAATACCCCTCAAAATGGATCAATCTATGATCATAAAATGGAAGGGGGTGGATTTATGAATTGATCCACAAAAAATTATCTAAAACTACACATAGCAATTCAAACATTTGTTATGAGTGTGTTATGCCAGTCTTGTGGCCACAATAATTATTATACATTTTCTATGAGTTCCCTTTTAACTCTCCTCCAGGGTTAAAACCTGAATGTGCGTGTGCAAAATGCATATTTTCCATGAGACTAAAGTCTGCAATGTGAATAATCACTGGATTTCAAACAAAACTAGATGCCTAGTCAGAAGTGTATGCGATAGACATATTATAATATAATGATTGGAAGTTCAGACATTTCTGCAAAGAGGACTGGGTTGCTCTTAAACTCATGTTTGAGTAGTTGGCATGGCACCGGTCGAATATCACATGCATATATACAAAACGCTTCCAATGTTGCAGAGAATGACTTGCTGTCAACCCGATAGAGTAAATCGCATAGTTTACAGTAAACAATATTGTTTACAAGCAAAAAAGTATGACGTATATAACACAATCGGTTAGCTATTAATATGTACATTCCTAACAACACTTTTAATACTTTAATGGTAGCACGTCTAGAGGTGAAACATGCATATTACACCATGCAAACCCTCGGCGAACTGCGCATGTGCGGTACCACTAATTGATGTGCTGGGCTTTGTATGCCGTGGTATCCCGCTAGTATATAGCTCGCGGAGAGTCTGGCACGGGCTAGCGACAGTAGTAAATAGCATGCGGAAGTCGATACATGCCCTTCATTGTGACTTGTTGTGCCTTCAAGACATACAGAGCGAACGGACGCGGTCGAGGTAAGCCTGTGCTAATTTACATATTGGCTTGTTCACTTGGTTTTCACGCCATAACTTTAAAACACAGTAGTTTTACGAAAATCGCCTTTTTTAAAATCAACCCAGTGTAGCACTGAACCCGATCATATCGCTATTTACCTGATTTCGTGCGCGCGGTGGCAGAAAACGTGGTAACAGAGACAGACTGACAGACGGACAGACAGACAGACAGACACACTTACGGGACAACTACCGTAATAGTGCGCATTCCTGTGGTACAAATTGGTTACACTACACCCACTCGACGGTTTAGTGCATACACTAAACCATCTCGTGGGCATAGTGTTTAACCCTCGACGCGCATGCGCAGCGAGGGTAAGACAACTTATTAGTATGCATGCCATGGTGTATGAGAGCTCATACACCACATGTGAGTGTATGGCTGAGTCAGCACACCATACACCATGGCATGCATACTAATGAGTTGTCTTAGTGCGCATACACTGCGTGCGGTGCCTTTGATTTCTAGGGCTTCTGTGGTACAAAACTACTTCTTCGCTCCTCAACTTGCTACTGGCGGATTTGTATGCCAGCATATTTGACAAATGACAACCAAATACTGTTTGAACAACAACAAATAGACTCAGGCACTTTTCTTTTCTTCACTTTTCGCACTAGCATGACTTGGTAAACATGTGTATTACATCATTTCCATGACAGCCACATAATTATTGTTTTAACAACAACAAATAGCTTAAGGTGTTTACTTCTTCAATCCTCAAAGTTGCTAACAACGCCAGCACTCATGGAAATGAAACTCGGTATGCATGCGTATGACATCGTTTCCATGACGACCACATATTGCTGGAACAACAACAAATAGCCTCAGGCCTTTACTTCTTCACTCTTCAAACTTACTAACGGCTGCACTTGAAACTTGATACGCATGCGTATTACCATGACGACAACAGGCCATTTTCTGCATTATTTCAGGGCTTGCCCCCTTTCACAAAGATGTACGTAGTAGTATATAAAAATAGGTGAAGACAATCAAACTAAAAATCTTGCGAATTTAAAAGAGGCATAATTATAGGGATGGTCTAAAAAGAAAGGGATACAAGATAGGGATGGGATACATGAAGCATGGTTAATGGACAGATTTGAGCATGCTGATACCCCCAACCCTATCACACAATCCCTATATTATTGTTGCCTAGGTGAAGTATTAAACACTCAACATTACACAATAGTCAGGAGTTACAGCTTGATACAAATAAGTCATGCTACAACACCGTTACCATAACAATGTGTAGCTTGAAAAGTCATGCTCCTGAGTAACCCAGAGTCCAAGTAAGGAGTTGAGAGTGGCACACTAGGCAACAATATAGGGTTGTGTGATGGGGTCGGGGGTGTCAGCGTACTCACTGTTCATTGACAATGCTTCATGTATCCCATCCTTATCTTGTCTCCCTTTCTTCTTATACCATATCCCCATATGCCTCTTTTTTATTTCGAAGGATTTTTAATTTACTTGTCCCTAGTATATCTCTGTCCTATTCATGCATGTATAGGCAAAGCCATCCCTTTATCCCCCTTCGTTTTAATGAAATGGATTTTTTCCCACTTGGTAGATAGCTGGTATGAGTCATGTTATTTCCTACAGGAGAACTCTGCAATATTAATTTATATAGCTGGTATCTTCAAGTATGTATATAGTGATTATCCTCGGCGCGCATGCGCAGCGAGGGTTACTGTAGTTGGGTTTGTCTGTGTGTCTGTTACTCTCAATCTCACTTCTCGAACGTCTGTTCGTCCCAGAAACGATACCATCTACCCAACGGGCGACGAAGGTCAGAAAATAAAGGCTGTTTTCTCTGAAAACGCTCCGTTGCAAAGCTAGAGCGCGAAAAAGCCAATTGCAAATACACAACGGACGGGATGGCTTACCACTGTAGGATCGATCCGCGTGCTCTGCCTACTTCGGAGGCACCAGAAGATGCAACGCAGGGCGTGTATCGCCTCTCGCATGCTATCTAGTAGTGTAGTTAGCCCGCGTCAGACTCTGCGCGAGCTGGCAAGAGACCACGGGTAACAGCTAACTAAAACTAAACCCAGCCCATCAATTAGTGGTACGGCGCATGCGTTTACTTACGCGTGCGCGTCACAGTGCGCCGAGGGTTTGCACTTCAGTGCTTTTGATTGGGTCTGTCTGTCTGTGTGTCTGTTACTCTACATCTCACTTCTCGAACGTCTGTTCGTCCCAGAAACGATACCATCTACCCAACGGGCGACGAAGGTCAGAAAAAAAAGGCGGTTTTCTCTGAAAATGCTCCGTTGCAAAGCTAGAGCGCTTCCGGCATTGTAGAGTATAGGTGGGTATCATGGAGACAGGAGGTATTATGAGACACTCGCTCAGATCGAAGCAAAACTTACCCAAACTGTTCTGAGAGCGGTACTAAGTACGGATCTCATCTCACTGAAATGTCGTGTGTAAATATTAATGGTGTATGCCTTTTTTTACTATGATCACATCTCACTGAATCCAGCAGTTGTGCACATGCATGCCAAATATGGAATCGTGATCGTAGACTGTAATGCAGTGAGAAGCAATGCCATCTTGTTTTTCAAATATTGACGTTCTGTGCTTTCTTTTTAGTGTGTGTAAATGGTGTCCCATAATACATACATGTGTCTCATAATACCATCAATACAAATTCACGAATATTTGTAGTTTATTTCTGTGTCAAAGTTTGGAATCTAGTGCAATGTATTGTAATGTTTACTAGTTCTAACTAGTAACATTAACTCCAAGTTTCATATCATTTCCACCTACTCCTTCCGAATATCAAGGCAACAAAAAATGGTGTCTCATAATAATCCTCACATACTCTACGGCTAATGCATAGTCGGCCATTTTTTATCGCTGCGGAAAATGTGCATGCGGTTATAATGCTAATTAGCACAAACTTACCTCGACCGGGACGCTTGCTCTGTGTATCTTGAAGGCATAAGAAGTCACAACGAAGGGCGTGTATCGACTCCCACATGCTATTTACAGTCCGTGTCAGACTCTCCGCGACCTGATACCACGACCGCGCGTACGCAGTTCGCCGAGGGTTTGCACTTCAGTGCTTTTCATTGTATAGGGAGCAGCCAGGGGAGGTCAAGGTTGGTTACCTTAGCAGCTCAACATTGTTATATGCATTATCAGTTCATTAAACACAGTTATAACCTCTTTGCTGTATTCAACTTCCCCATGCACTGGAATGAGTAGCCTTGTATGATCACCCAGGAGACCTTGTGTGTAGCAACTGTGGTAGGTAGCTATTTTCTGTGTAACAATAGCTAATGCACCAAGACACAAGCATGCTATATATTGGCACAACACATAACATGTTTGTGCATTGACATATTAGAGCATGGTAAAAGCTCTATACAGAGATGGCATGGCACGTCGAGTAGAATCTCAGGTGGTCCCCGTCGTAGCTAATGCCTCAAAACTCAATGAGGATGACTCGCTGTCAACCAGATGGATTTTAGATATTTAGTTAAATGCCGTGTAGTCAGAGCTGTTTATAGCTATATAAAACAAGTGTAAAAATCATTTCTTCATTATGAAGGGGAATGATTATAGGGATATAGCTGTAGTTAAGAGCTTAAATTAAGATGTAGGGATGGTGTTAAGCAGCTTGTTTGTGGTACACA